GAATTTTTTTTGGATGTGTGTGGACTAAAGAAAATTGGTGTGTGAAAATAAAAGGGTGATTCTACTTACACCACTCTTTTACCTCCTTACACCCTCCATATAAGATTGTTTTTTTCTTCCAATTTTATCCATTTGTGAAATTACTTAAAGGGACAAAACACTAAAATTAAATGTATTTGATTATCTCCTTACACCCCCTGACCTTTCAATTCCAACTTCTCTTTTTCCTTTCTCAACTTTTCCTTTTTCTTACACATCTCTTTTGAAAAACTGATAATCATAATGTTGTGATCATCAAAAAAAGTAATGGATGAAGAAACGGTGGTGAAAAATCATGAAAAAAGTGAAATTGTGAGTTTTTTTTTTTTTAGTTTGGTAGGTTTTTGTTTCGATTTTCTGGATTGGTATGCGACTTTTGTTCGGTGTTTCGAAATTGAACAAAATAACATGGTCCGGCGTCACAGTGCCGAAAAAAAAAAGTCTAGCATTCTATTACCGAACAGCCCCAAATTATTATTTATAACAAAGTGGCTCTGTAAATGTATAGCAACAGAACGCTAGACAAATATATTTTTTCCAGCAACATAACACTGGAGAAATGTAATTTGTCTATTATTGTGTGACTGAACAGACACTTCACAGTAGGCTCCACTGACTTTGTTATGAAGCAAATTGAAACTTTTCAATTGTATGGCAACATAATGCTAGGAAAAACTATTTTGTCTGGTAACACAACACTGGATTAATTAAAATTCACTAGCATTTTATTACCGAACAGCCCCAACACAAATAAAAAAAACATTGTTTAGGGTAAAGTGGCTCTGGAAATATATAGCAACTAAATGCTGGAGGGATCTATTGTTTCCGGCAACTGAACACCGGAATAATTCAAATTGTTTAGCAGTATGACGCTGAACTGGCCCATAACACTGGAAAAAAAACAATGTTACTTCCAGGAAATGGTACCATATCCCTCCAAAACACTTTAATACCATTACAATGCATTACGAACAATAACAAATCCATATGTTCGCCAAAATAAGTTTCCATTGACATAAATATTGAATACAAAATAGATGTAAAACTGTTTAAAATTCTTACAAAAGTATGACAATTCATTACTTGTCCAACCAATCATCCAGTTTACAAAAGATCTACAAAAACTATGCCATTAGGGAAAAGTATATCCCAAATTCTGTACGGCCTAGGCATTCACAAAAACTATGTCATCAAAAAAAAAAACTAGATCCCAAATTCTGTACAGGCTAGGCTATCAAGAACTTGCAGCACGCGACCGATGGTTTCATACAGCATGTCAGGGTGCAAGACACACTCATCACGACCGAGCCTATGGACTACAGCACCAACATTGAAAGCAACATCATTACACTGCAAAAAAATTGATAAAAATCGTACTTAGTGTTTGATTTATGGTGAACCACTTAAAAGTGAAAAAAGTTAATTCACATTTTGCTTACCCACTCAGGATCCATAGTAACATCATTTAGGAGAGGAAGTAGAGAAGGAAGGTGGAGAGTTGAGAGAGAATGTGTTTCAAGAATATAAAGAAGTTTAGGAAGAGAAATTAGAAAGTAAACTAGGAAAAAAGTAAAAAATAATAGGGTGTGGCAACCTTGGTGGTTGTGTTAGTGGGGGATGAGAATATGGTTGGAAGGTGGATTAATGTGATTTAGAATGGATTAATAATGGCAGCGGTGACTAGTGAGTTTGATGGTAGTGTTGATGAGTTGGTGAACTAATTATTGATTTGTGGGAGTCATGATGGTCAGCCTGTGGTAATAGGTGGATAGATGTTCAAGGATTCCACTATTGGTGTATGGTTTGGGGTGGTGCTATAGGGGAGTGCAATGTGGTTGAGATTGGTGCATCGTACATACTGTAGGGTTGTCAATTAGGTTAGCTTGAGTGTGAGATCGTCCTGAAGAAGAAACACTGGTACTAGACATTGGCTTAGCTTGTCACTAGAACATTCCCACTTCCAAAACTCAGCTCATTATCTTATATAAGTTACTTACTAAAAAGTTTGGGGTAACCCAAATCTATGAAACGAGGAGACATCTATGAGAGGTTTTGATTATAATTTTGAACATAAATTAAGAGAAGTATTAAAAAAAATGGTAATCTTGAACTTAGTGTAATGTAACATTTTTATTATACATGATTCATTTTTAATGTGATGATGGAATGTTTTGTGGAGATGGTGCTCACTTGACTAACCCACAAAACTCTAACCCAGAAATTCAATTTTTTTCCACAACTATTGATAACCTTCTATGGCAGCTCTTTACCCACAGAACCCTAACCTTTCCACTTAACTATCACTCTTTAAAAAAAAAAAGAAAAAAAAGAGAGACAAGTGGGCAAAACAGAGGACCAAAATTTGATAAAACATAGAACCAAAATCTGAACTTCAACATTCAAAACTAGCACCAAAAATCACAAACCCAATTAAATTCCAAGATCTAAAAACCACCAAAACTATGTTGGGAATGCGCTATTCTTTGTCTATTCGCAAAAAATGATGATATAGATGATATAGATATATAGATAGATACACATATCTATGTTTATCAATATAAAGAGAGAAAGAGAGTTTTCTCACTTACCTTTGGCAAATGAGAAGAGTGAGTTCAATTTTCAATTGTCCACGCCATCCGAACGCCTCCACGCCGGTGTTGTCTACTCTTCTTCCCTGTGTCGTTCTCTCTGCGTTGTTCTCTTTTCCCTCCAAAGGTATGGGTGTAAATCCGAACGCCTCCACGCCGGTGTTGTCTACTCTTCTTTCCTGTGTCGTTTTCTCTGCGTTGTTCTCTTTTCCCTCCAAAGGTATGGGTGTAAAGAGATAGGTTTTGAAGAATTTTTTATCATAGGGTTTGTTTTGGTACTATATTAGGTGTAATGAGAATTCAATTTTTTTTTAAGTGGTGTAAAGAGATGGAGGGTGTAAGGAGGTAAAAGAGTGGTGTAAGTAGAATCACCCAAAATAAAATTATCCCTGAATTGGTGATGAACTAAGATCCAATAATTCCACCTATACCCTCATCGAAACCAATTCAAGACTTGAAAATGGGAAATAGTTGCCCAAGCCCAAGTCCCTACTAGATTCCTAAACATTAATTAGGAGAGGGACATAGATGCCTGCTTCGTCAAATTTTCCCTCGATCATCACGCCAGTCTCTGTCTTTGTGGGGGTACTCACCAGCTACATGAGGCAACGACGAAGACTCTGTGCGTGAAGGGGGTCTCCAATATAGCAGCACTAGGTGCCATTGGTATTGATCTACTCCAACCAACACACAAGTTGTATTGTATGAGCTTTAATGATCCGTCCAATACGCGCTTTCCACTCCCATTATGTTGACAGAAAGATTAGAAAAAAAAAAAGAAAAAAAGAAAACACTAAAATTTCACGGTAACTGCAAGAGCTTAGTTGAGGTTAATTAAGCTAACAGTGCTGACCAGTTGTGGAATATATCATCTACTTATTTTTATTTATTTATTTATTTATTTATTTATTTTTTCAGAGTATCAATTTACACACACATATTACATTACACTAACATATTATTGATCAATTACATAGTATGCGTAAATTAGATGCTGTCTTTTTCATCACTAATTAAGGAGGTGGTATGCAAAGGGATGGGGTTTTTCGGGTTTCGCGCTCAAATTTTTGTTTTGAAACTCAATTGATGCAATTTCATACTTGACTATAAACTTGACAGTTTTGATTTACCTATAATTATACTATACCCTACCCAATCAATGCTCTTTGAAACCATTTATATTAAAATCGGGGTTGGAACAAATACAATCAGGTCGGGGAATTTTGCTATCCCTGGCAACCATTCAATAATTGTGACCCACCTATCGAATGAAACATCTAAGAGCCTTCTAAATTATTACCATATATATAGATAAATATTACAGTCAACATTGCCTAATGACTTAGATTGACGCATACAATTCCATTCATAGATTGACTAGGTCTACCCAAATTTTTAACTGAACAAAATTTCAATTTGGACTGTGGAATAAAATGTCATTTTTAAAATTACATAAGATAATTCATATTTTAAATAAGTTTAAAATTGTATTTTTAATTTACTCATAACTATAATTACTCATGATGTGATTCAACTATGATCAAGATTAATACCGACCAACCCAATATTTCATTTACAGTTACATTATCTTTCTATTTCTTTTATTTATTTATTTATTTTTTAGTTTTCATCTAAATTCATGATTTAAATAAAAAGTTCTTAACTATCTAAAAATCAGAAAGTTCTTAATTTGATAAAAACATTTAATCAAAGTAATTTTGAGAGAATATCATTCCAAAAGCCCTTTAACTTGAAAAAAAAAAAAGAAAGAGAGAGAGAAAAGAAAATCTATAATGCTCAACTTTAAAAAGAGTGTGTAGTAAAAAATTACAAATATTTGTAGTGAAAAAATATTAATATTTGTGTTGTATTATGTCAATTTGCTTTAAAAATTATAAATGACGAATTTATAGTGAGTATCATAATGTGAAAGTTATATTTTTTGTGGTGAAGAAGAAAAAAAATGTCATTTTATTATAAAGGCCAAAACACATGCACCCTTTTAGGATTGCACATAGTAACATTTTTATTTTCATATATGAGACCAACTAAATCCCTAATAATAATAATAATAATAATAATAATGAATTAGCTATAATACTTGCTCCAAAAATAATCACTTCAAAATAATATATTAAAAACTTGAATGCAAAATAATTTTCTTATTAGTATTGCATAAAAAATATAAAAAGTTTAAAATTAAAATATTAAGATGTATAAATTATATAAAAAGGCTTCATTTAAATTTTTGAGTCTAAAATTTATACAATAATTAAACGGTTTGCACTGGCCTTTTATTTACTAAATATATATTCCAACAACAGGTCCAAGGAAGGAGTTCCCAACTTTTTTCATTGCATCTCCTGAGCCTCTTCATTCTGACCTGTTCCTAATTGGTTGGGTTTTGTGTTTTCTGCATTTGTATTTGCCTTTTCAAAATAGAAAATTCTTCTAATAAGCTTATAGCTAACGGATGGATCAACCGAGTCTGTATTGTGCTATTCTTCTGGTTTTTACATCTCTCACATATTCCTCACACTTGGGAAATGCCAAGTCTGTGGATTATGGAATTGCCACACTATCCACCTCATGGACCATTAATAACCCCACACCTATCCTACATGCTTCGGAATTTGTATGGAGACCCATCCTTTTTCGAAGAGGCCTTCTATCACGTTTTACTCTTGGCTTCTGCTGCAATTTTGCATACACTGACTGCATCGTTGGTGTCTTCATCCAAAAACAAACTTCCGTCAATGAAGATTCCATAACAGATGCCCCGCAACTTGTTTGGTCCGCTAATCGAAACCATTCTGTAAAGCTTAATGCAACCTTGCACCTAACTCAACATGGAGACTTGACCTTGGCCGACGCTGACGGCACTTCTGTCTGGTCTACAAACACTGGTAGAGCAGGAGGAGGAGGAGGAGGAAAGTACTCTGTCTTAGGCTTGAACTTGACTGAAGATGGAAACTTGGTCCTTTTCGACCAAAACAATGCAACAGTTTGGCAGTCTTTCGATTACCCAACGGATTCCTTACTTCCTGGGCAGAAGTTGGTCCTTGGGCAGAAGCTGATTGCTAGCACGTCCGCATCAAACTGGAGTCAAGGTTTGTTTTCACTTGCTATTCATCGTAATCCTGATCCTTATTACAGTCTGTTGGCTTATGTAGAATCCAATCCACCCTTGGTCTATTTTCGATCCTATTTAAATGGGAGTTCCGACCACCAAGTATATGTGAAATTCGAGAATGGAAGCTTCAACGAGCAGAAATCCCCTCTTGTTGGATCGTCAGCTCAGTTCATAAGGTTGGAACCTGATGGGCGTTTGAGGGTTTATGAGTGGGTAGGAAATAACTGGAATGCGGTGGATCTACTGATACCAGATATTGGTGACTGTGGGTATCCCATGGCGTGCGGCAATTACGGTGTCTGTTCTTCAAATGGAGAGTGTGGCTGTCTTGAGGAATTCCCCAGCAGCAACATTTTCAGGCAAATAAATTATAGGCAACCCAGTCTTGGATGTTCCCTTGTTACACCCATTTCTTGTAACCATTCTCAATATCACACACTTTTGGAGCTTCAGAATATTAGTTATTTTTTTAACTTAAAAGACACAAACGGAGACTACTTGGATGCAAAAATCGAGTTAGAGGATTGCAAGAAGAGTTGCTTGAAAAACTGTTCATGCAAAGCCGCTTTGTTTGCATATGATGGGGGCTCTAATTATGATGGGAGCTATTACTATAATCGTTGCTTATTACTATCTGAAGTCTATTCTCTTCAAAATAATGATGCAGGGGATGATAGCATTTCTCTATTTCTTAAAGTGCAGAATTCTCTGACTGCGCAGTATCCTTTACCAACAAATTCTCCTCAAAAGAAATCAAGGAATGTCAAAATCACTCTTGGATCCAGCCTCGGAGCTCTCTTTGGTGTATTTTTTGTGGTTGCCTCTTGCATTTTCCATTTTAGAAAGAAAGGAGAATCCGAAGAATTTGATGAGTTCTCTGTTGATCAAGTACCAGGGATGCCTACTAGATTCTCATACGAAGACCTGAGAGCCATGACGAGCAATTTCAATAATAAGCTCGGGGAAGGAGGATTTGGGTCAGTGTTTCAAGGGACATTAAGTGATGGCACCGAAATAGCAGTGAAGCGTCTCAATGGTTTTGGTCAAGTTAAGAAGTCATTCTTAGCTGAAGTTGAGACAATAGGCAGCATTCACCATATCAATTTGGTGAGATTAATAGGATTTTGCGCTGAAAAATCATACAGGCTTCTAGTTTACGAGTACATGTCTAATGGATCCTTGGATAAATGGATCTTCCAAAGGCACCAAGAGCTCACACTTGGGTGGCAATCCAGAAGAAAGATCATCATGGAGATAGCTAAGGGTCTATCCTATCTCCATGAGGAATGCAGGCAGAAAATATTTCATTTGGATATCAAACCCCAAAACATCCTCTTAGATGAATACTTCAATGCAAAAATATCTGATTTCGGATTGTCAAAACTAATTGATAAGGACCAAAGCCAAGTTGTAACAACTTTGAGGGGAACACCAGGCTATTTGGCTCCTGAATGGTTGAGCTCAATTATCACTGAGAAAGTAGATGTCTACAGCTTTGGTGTTGTGGTCTTGGAAATGTTGTGTGGGCAAAAAAATTTGGATAGGTCTCAACCTGAGGAAGATATGCATTTACTAAGTCTATTTAAAAGGAAAGCCGAGGAGGAACGACTGATCGATATCGTTGATAAAGGCAATGATGAAATGCAGTTACATAGTACAGAAGTTGTGGAGATGATAAGGGTTGCTGTGTGGTGTCTACAAAGTGACTTTTCTAAGAGACCTTCCATGTCAGTGGTGGTTAAGGTCTTGGAGGGTTCTGTTGATGTTGATAACAACTTGGTTATAACTTCATAAATCCTGTGATACGAAGAACAATTGCAGATGCTGGTCAGCAAGAGGATGCCATTGGCGCTGCTTGTACTCTATTGTCTCCATTAGCTCTATCAGGACCAAGGTAAACAAAGGAGACTTTGACAAACAAATTTTTGCAAATTGAATAACTTTTTAAGGTTTTTATTTTTGTTGTGTGTGTTTTTGTTTTGTTATTTGGGGATGCTATGTTTTAGGAGAAACCCACACGCTATAATCTTATCTTATGAGAATAAGTTAGCCAGGATTGAGTATGAGAAACTGCAAGCAGACTAGCTACCGTTTAACTCATTTAATTCTATTATAGGCAAATGAGATCCTAATAAAAATAAATTTGTATACAAATAAAGAGTTGGAAATGTTCGGAGGTAACTCTGAACTAATATGTCATGAATAAGTGCCTTTCTAAATTTTTGGTACCCGCTGCTGTACTATCTTTACTTGTTATTTTTACTATTCTAGTGGGATTCTTAACTTAATCCATTGGTTTTGGATTCAATAACAATTAGGCGTATTTGAGCGAAAATTGTTTCCCATTCAACAATTGCGTGTCAAATTTTCCCTCCCATCAGATTCATGCCACTGCTCACTCTTTGAAATTATCTTTGTGGCCACCAACAGCACGAGCAATGACAAAGATTTTGTGCGTCAAGAAAGGGGGTGTCTTCTGAAGTCCAATATAGCACTAGTTGAGTTGCCATTAGAGCATCTCCAATGCACTAGGCATATAATACTTGTTAGTTAAAATGCCTAGTGTGATTCACTTTTTTCAATTCCAATGCACTAGGCATATGATTAGGCATTCTGGCTCAACTCATATTCACTAGCTACATGTAGCTAGCCTTCAACGCTAGGCAAAATGTATTCAATCATTAGGATCATTTCCCTCCATCTTTATTGTTGACGTGGCATTCTATAAAATTAATAGTATTTGGATAAATAGCTAAAATAAAGAGCATGGTTGGAGTAAAAACATAAAACAGTTGATAGGCAAAATAAAATATATACTTTATAGTAATATTTGGATAGGTAAAATGCCTACTATCGTTGGAGATGCTCTTAATCAGTACGCATCATATCTACACACATGTTAATTGACTGACTCTTACTCTGACTCGGGGGTGTCTGACTAAGGCTTAAATTAATTCTTTTAGGTCATGTTTGATTCACAAGATTATAGTGAAGTATTAATAATCCTATTAAATTAGTGTGATATTCACTATCTAATTGGATTAATATCCATTGGATTAATAATCCCACCTGTATCTCATTACTAATAATCCTACAAATTTGTTGGATTAATTATCCATTGGATTAATAATCCTAAACCAAAATATTAAAACAAACATAGGATAATTGAACCCAAGGATTAATAATCTCAATCCCATACTCTAATCCACCCAATCAAACATGCCCTTAGTGTATTTGGGAATCCTGCTGTGCTCTTTTGTGGAGTGTCGTCTTGAGCCTCTTTCCATAATTCGAACTGTTTATATTGTAGGGTTCGTTGAATAAATCATCTATATAAAAAATCAAGTTTATTGGATCTCTGTCGCCCTATAATAAAAGCACATTTGTTTTTATAAAATTTAACAGTTAACATAACTTTCATAAATTTTTAAAAACAATTAGGACCTAATCATAAGGTTACGAATATTCAATTAACTTAATTTTTTACAGGGATAATATTATTTATGAATCCTATAATATCAACGGTTCAGATAATCGAAAGACACATAGGACAACCTTTCACAATGAGGCACAGCAGCACTCCCAACTTTTTTTTCTTTTTTATTGGTTTTTTTTTTTTTTTTTATAGCTTTCCATTCACGTTATGTTGGAAGAAAGGTTTTTGTTTGGATCATTAATTTGAGCATGACTTTAAAAAGTGAAAGGAAAAAGAGGCACTGTGGATGCTCCGTCTGTCTCTTCACTAGATTTGGTCATTGTGCAGCCAGCCACACACATAGCCAGAGATCGTTCAAGCGTGTGGACCGACTGGAAATGTCATAACCAGATGGAGCGATGGCGTTCCACTTTCAATAAAAGTGAGAATTGTTTTTACAATAGATTAAAATAGCCAAAGTCACTACTAAAAATTAATTTTTTTATCTATTATTTTATAAGTCTTTTTGTAAAAAATAAATAAATCATTATAATACTTTTTTTTTATAGTTAATTAAATATAAAAATAAATATTTTAATAAAATAATCATTCCATTCAAATGTTGGGAGCAAAAACAAAAACTACTGGAGGCAATATACATTTTCCACATCTTCGACTGACCAAACATATGGTGGATGTATTCACCCAAAAAACATACGGTGGATGCTATTCCAAAAGCACACAAGTCTACGAACATAAAATTGAATACAATTTATCATGAAAATAAGTGAAGCAATTGGAATAAAATTATATATTTTATAATGAGTTCAATCATGTGATATGTATTATCAAAATTATTTTATGTGATTAATTTTGTGTTTGAATATATATTTTTTTGGTATATATTTTTTGTAAGAATATAAATATATATATATATATTATTGGGAGGGACTTCTCTCGAGTCCACATAGTTATATGGACCGAAGCGTATTGTTGGGTCTGTAGTGCCTACCACGGATCCTGTTTCGATAATCTAACCTGTTAATGTGTAGAACTTGTCGAGTACTTTATGTTTGCAAAAAATTACGTTAATTGGATATTAGTAGCTCCTTGATCGAAACACATTTTTATTAACAATTTATTTTTAAAATCATATTTACCATGGACAAAAATGTGTTCATTCAAGTGGTTACCGATATCCGATAAATGTGATTTTTTGCAGGCATAAAGTACTCAACGAGTTTTACACATTGAACGGTTCGGATTATCTAAACTAGGCACGTGGTGGGCCTCATGGACCCAATAGTACGCTTGACACAATGGAATACCAGGGACTAGATATCGTTCTAGTAGACGAAAGGGGCTCTCGAATCCACGAGAAAAATAAAACCTTGAATCCACTAGGAAAAGAAAATATCTTAATATTATTTTGATTGAATGAATAAAAGTTGTATAAAAATTGTCTTTGCCATGAGGCTTACATAGCTATTTATAATAAACTAAACCTAATACTTGTAGGAAAAATAATTATAAAATAAACTAGGAAACTTAAATCAACACAAATGAGGAAACCTATGAGAATAGGAAACTAAAATTGTAAACTATTTAAAATCCTAGTCAAAATCTAATTTAAGAAACCTAATAATTCTAAAATATTTATACTAAATTACAAGAATCCTAATAATATATCAAAAATATTAAAACTAAAAATATAAAAAATTCTGAAAATCTTGTCCTACATCAGACTCCTGTTCTTTGAAAGAACTCGTCCTCGAGTTCATATTAGAAATCTGCCATCGTCCATCCCAAATAAAAAGATACTTGGAATACTTCAATTGTTTGTCCCTCTTCCGAACATTATATGCAGAGAAGTCTACTTTCTAAAGGTACTCTCTATGTGTTTTAATTGGCTGACAAGATCAATTAGACAAGAATTGAAAATCAAATTAAATTTCTCAACACCAAGAAAATCAACGAAGGGTATTTTATGTTGATGTTGGATACTCTCTAGACTTTGCTCTGTCTTAAATTCAGTTGGACATTCAATTATCATCTTTCGAATTATTGCTATTGAACACATCACTGAATCTTCGTTGTCGCCTTACCGACTAGTATTCACCATAATCCTCGAATAACTCATCTTCAGATTCATCCTCACTATCATATTGATAACAAGAAGATCGTCTCAAGACGTTGTGGTTAATTGGCTGGCCTTGGGCAAATCCCATAGCGTGGTTCCTATTAACGTTGTGACTAATAGGTTGGCCTTGGGCAAGTCCCTTGACTCGAATCCTATTAAATATTTCTCTACGATCATCGTCAATAGAGCTTGTGTTTCCTCTTTCAATGAATGACATCGAGCCAGGAGAAACCTTGCTCTAATACCACTTGACACAGCGGAATACACGGGGACTAGATATCGTTGTAGTAGACGAAAGGGGCTCTTGAATCCACGAGAAAAATAGAACCTTGAATCCACTAGGAAGAGAAAATATCTTAATATTATTGATTGAATGAATAAAAGTTGTATAAAAGTTGTCTTTGCCATGAGGCTTACATAGCTATTTCTAATAAACTAAACCTAATACTTGTAGGAAAAGTAATTCTAAAATAAACTAGGAAACTTAAATCAACACAAATGAGGAAACCTAAAAGAATAGGAAACTAAAATTCTAAACTATTTAAAATCCTAGTCAAAATCTAATTTAAGAAACCTAATAATTGTAAAATATTTATACTAAATTACAAGAATCCTAATAATATATCAAAAATATTAAAACTAAAAATATAAAAAATTCTTAAAATCTTGTCCTGAAAATCTTGTCCTACATCAATGCTCCAAAAGCCATCTCCTATACTATTATATAAAAGAAAAGACTATGGTACACCCCCTCAAATGTATGCACCTTATAACTAAAAAAAAATGGCATAATTTCATACTTTTTGGGTCATAACTATAAAAAAAAGTCATAACCAAACAATACATAAGATATAACTAAAAATCTCATGAGTCATAACTAAAATAAGATCATAAGTAAAGAAGAAAATTTATCATAATTAAAGAAGAAAATGACATAATTTAGGAGTGCATATAGTAGGGAGTGTGTATAGTAGAATTTCCTTATATAAAATCAATACTTCTTTTGGTGTGACTGTCACATTTTTTATTTTTATTTTCAAAATTTCCTCAGAATATAATAATTGCTTAAAACTATTTCAAATTAAATCCATTTGTTTCAAATAATTGTCATAATTATCAAATTTAATTACAAATTGAGTTTGCCCACCTCTAGTGTATATATATATGGCTAATTACACAAAGACCCCCTCTACTATTAGCAAATATTAGTTTATCTCACCATCAATGTAACTTCACGACCCAAACACGCATCTATAAGTTTACAGTCATGACCGGTCAGTAATCCCAGATTGCCTACGGCCTCAATTAACAAAATCAATCTTAATATAATTTGCAGGGCATAGCGAAAACAATATAAAACATAATAGATAATCCATTGAGCAATGCTTATATGAAAGACTTCATTTTATACATAAACTTTCAAACATCTTATATACTTGAGACATAGCCAGTTTAAACATTTGTCACACAACATTCATCCAAACTTTACATCCATTACAAATTCCAAAATGACAAAAACAAAAGGAAAAGACAAAAGGTTTGACCATGCTTGGCTCCATTCAAAC